ATAACGTTCCAAAAACTAAAATATATTATATATTTAACATTCGAAAAGCTAGAGGAATTATTACAGGGTAGCGATGTGGAACTGCGTCTGGAATCAGGCTTCGAAATGGCGAACGATGCTGCTGAAGCAGCTAGGAACGTTTATACAGATTTGAGTGTCAAAAATCGATCCAGATCCAAAATCCTTGAATTGTACGCTTAAAAACGCGACAATTGTTCATAACTAAGAATCCTGACTGTAAAAAGCCAAGACTGTATCAAACTCCTAGTTTGTACATTCTTCCGAAATATATTAAATTTTTTAAAGTGCCACACTTGCGTATTATTAAAATATGTGTATGTATGTATGTATGTTTTCTATTGTATGTATGTATGTATGTATGTATGTATGTATGTATGTATGTATGTATGTATGTATGTATGTAAGCATGTATGTATGTATGTATGTATGTGTGTATGTATGTATGTATATGTATGTATGTATTCATGTATGTGTTAATGCGTTTTGGCTAGGTTTGAACGAAGCGCAGTTTCAACCAAAAAGGATGCCGAATCCTGTAGAAAATGAGACGCATTTAACTGATTTTGATTTGTTCAAATACTGGCAGATTGTCCGAAAAAAGGCAATGAATTCTTAGTAATACGATTATTTACACCACTTGTAAAGCTGAGAATATTTGCTTCCTCATTCATTAGTAACTCTACTGGCCGATGCTATGCATGTACAATTGTCTTGGCTCAATAATATGTAGGCCTTTACACTTAGGATTCGCTGTATGCAATTCTGACAATCAAATTGCAAAAATGGTCTCCTGTACGACTCCATAATAAGTCCTGCTACCTTCACGCAGGATCTTAACTCCGCCGGCATGACAACTAATCTCTCTACGATTCGTTCATTCGCTTTGATGGCAAACTGGTAATAGCGTGTGCCAAGAAGTCAGACTCTTTTCATAAATATGCTCGGACCGATCAGAAATCGAACCACTTATTTCCACACCCAGAAACGAATTGCTGAACCGCTGCTTCATCGATCGTTGTGTTCACACAAAGTTCTGGAGCACCTATGTTCTGTATAATGCCATTCGCACAAATGCCCTCTACCAATGTCCAGTGCTGTTCTCACAATTTTCAGTTCTTGTCGGCTCTTAGTGGGACTTGCGCAGCAACATCAATTTCGTTTTAAAGCAACTCTCAAATGATGAAGCGGATGG